ATTAGGGTTTATAAACACGAAAAAAATTGTAATTCACCTAGTAGTCATTCTCCCTAACGGACATATACACATTGTTATATATACATATTAATTTTATATTACCTTTTTACTCAACTGACTGAACCTGTTAAAAAAATAATTAAAAAATTAATTATTCACCACACAAAAGTATCTCGTATTTTGTCCATCTTCACATCTTTTTCTTTTCACTTCTTGATAATTATCTTGAAGTCAAAAGGTATGTTTTAACGATCCACTCCACCGCTTCCTCTCCGCATGCAATCAAAAGCTTTTCCATCTCCTTCATCCTCCATTTTCAATCATGTTGTGCGTTTGAGTTCCGCGTTAGAGTTTCAACGTTTGTTAGTAACACACCATTTCTCTCCAAATTAACCAAGTCAATTATTCTCAGATCTTCGGACCGGCTTTAAATTCTCAGTATTTTTTTCCTTTGATCTATTAGGAACATAAGTTATTTTTGTTTGTACATAGCATGCGATCTATTAGGAATATTCAATTTCAGATGGAATAACAAGATCTGCAACGTATGTACTTTAGAATTTTTTATCAATAATTTGTAGGCCTATTCTATTCAAAATGGAACAACACATAGGTTTATCTTCGTCTGGACATCGACTGAGCTCTATTAGAAAATTCTATATGAGATGGAATAGAATAAATTTTAGATTCACACGATTCTATGTGAATTGGAATAGCATGTGAAGAACGTATGTATTTTATAATTCCTTATCAACAATTTTGATGTTTGCCATAAAAAATTCCTTCTTACATACAATATAATAGATTTATTCACTACTTGTTGCTACTATTATCTTCTTTCGCCATGTTTGGTATGGATGATTTAGTCTTCCAAATAGATTGTTTGAGACAAGATTTGAACTAACTGGAAATAAAAAGGTGAACTACTATTTTGAATCTCTGTTGGATTGAGGTGATCAAGAGTGCACTAGAGGATGATGGCTTGGCTATGTTGAATGCATCACTTCTTGGGAGAGTCTTGAATATGGGGTCACATACCTTCTCTATGATGTTTGTTCATTATATTATATCACGCACACGTTAGCTTCTATGTAACACAACTATTTTATTAAAATATTTATTTCTTGTTTCTATGTAATCTAACATACAATTGAATGGAAATCCATCTTATTAGCACTTGTGTTCTATATTGGACGTGTTAATACCATTTTATGTATCTTCCAAATTCATACTTGTATATAATATTTCCTTAACATAGTGTTGGATAAGAGTTTATATTTCCGTGTATTGGTTAGTGATTAGTGGATAAGTTTAGGGTTTAGTATTAGTGGATAAGTTTATGGTTTCTATTTGGTAATGGTTTAGTGATTAGAGTTTAAGGTATATTATTTAGAAGGTGAGAAGATATGGTTGGGGTCAAGATGAACTTCTTTCTTGTGATCTTAGACATTTCATAATTTTAGTAATACATACTATGTAATTTATTTTGTTCCATGTTGTTTGGGTTTATGGTTTATATTTGGGGTTAGGGTTTGTTGGGTTAAGGTTTCATATTGGGGCAAGGGTTTAGAAATTAAAGTTTAGGGTTTAGTATTTAGAAGGTGAGGGGATATGGTTAGAGTCAACATAACTTCTTATATGCAGTCATAGATATTCCATAAATTCACCAATATGTACTATGTTATTTGCTTAGTTCCATTCTATCTGAATTTTGGGATATGGTTTATATTTGGATTTAAAGTTTACTAATTAGAGTTTAAATTTAGTATTTAGGGGTGTAGTAAGATTGAGATAAAGTTTAGTATTTAGGGATTGTGATTCAAATATGTTTAGTATTTAAGAATTTTAGGTTTAGTTATAATCCAATACTAATTTAGTGATATGGAATAGAACATTCATGTATATATATATGGTTAATAAAAGTATATGTGGACTGTTTTTTTTTTTCTTTTATTTAGAGTAGTTTTCAAGATGCTCTTGATTTTATATTCTATTGGAGACGTTGTTCCTTTCAACATATTTACATGATACCTGTAAAAAATGGATAAAACCGGACACTTTATGGTACAAATGACAAATATTACATTATGTCAAAATTAATAATATTTACCTAATTTGTACTCAAAACATAGCTAATTCACAAATAAGCCCAATAATAATTTACACGATCCCCTATATATTATTTGCGAAGTGATTTTGCCACATGTCCTCTCTACAATCAGTTTCACAAAAAAATGATGACATGTCTACTAGAATTGATGACATGACATATGATTAAATATGACATGGACAATTGCATTTAATGTTAATATATATTTTTGGAAAACTTTATAAAATATGGTAACAACTCATATATTAGATTTGATGTCGATTTCTATTTTTAGAAATATTTTAAAATATGGTAATAACTCATAAATCATCATTAAAATAAATATATTCAAATATGGTATTATAAATTTCGAAAATATCATTTAATTATATATTTTAAAATTATACAATTTTTTACAAACTTTTCAAAAATGTATACCTTTTTTGAAATTATTAAAATTTAATCGTAAAATTATTAATTTCTTATATATTTACAAATTTAATAAATATTGTCTAATTTTAATTTTTGATAATTATAAAATTTTCTACAAATTTATTTAATATATTTAATTAAAATAAATAGATAAAAAATCTATCTAACATTATAATTTTAAATATATACATGCATATTCTTAAATATAATTTAAAATAAACAAAAAATATTTTTCTATTATTTGTATGTTTAATTAAAAAAATTTGTATTACAATAGTGATAAGAAAAAGAAAATTTATAATATTTATAAATTTTAATTTTAAACATAATTTGGAAAACTTTATAAAATATGGTAACAACTCATATATTAGATTTGATATCGATTTATATTTTTGGAAATATTTTCAAAATATGGTAATAACTCATAAATCATCATTCAAAAAATATATTCAAATATGGCATTATAAATTTCGAAAATATCATTTAATTATATATTTTAAAATTATACAATTTTATTACAAACTTTTCAAAAATGTATACCTTTTTTGAAAATTATTAAAATTTAATCGTAAAATAATTAATTTTTATATATTTACAGATTTAATAAATATTGTCTAATTTTAATTTTTGATAATTATAAAATTTTCTAAAAATTTATTTAATATATTTAATTAAACTAAATAGATAAAAAATCTATCTAAGATTATAATTTTAAATATATACATGCATTTTCATAAATATAATTTAAAATAAACAAAAAAATATTTTTCTATTATTTATGTTTAATTAAAAAAAATTGTATTAAAATAGTGATAAGAAAAAGAAAATTTATAATATTAATAAAATTTTAATTTTAAACGTAATTTATATTGCATCTGTTAAAAAATATTTTAAATCTTTTTACTGCACATGGTGCAGGAGAACACCTAGTTTTCTTTTATTTGAACAGGTGGTGCGGAATTCTTAGCATTCCTAATATAATAATACCATAAAATTTCTCTCTTTTGGGTCAAGAGATAATATTACCTTAAGTATCTCGTAGAATTATCAAACAAAGTGTTGCAGTGTATGCTTACAAATTGTATGTATAGGAAGAGGAGACATCTTTTGGAACTTGGAAGTATCATCAGCGTCACCTTACGGGAAATATGCTAATTTGGAACAACTTATGTTAGGTGTTGCCTCATTAGAACTAAATCAATTTTTGTCCATTTTTTACTTTAACTACCCTTACACTTTATTAAAATTCATATCAATTAATTGAAATACAAATAAAATATAAAAAAAAATACAAACAAGACCTTAACATACATAAACACTTATGAAAAATATAAAGATGAAAAAATTAAGCTTGGAAGACCAACGTCAATAACGTTCTAAAAATGGTAGAAAATATGATCCACCATCTACGGTGAATTAGATGGTAGCTTCTTCGAAGAAAACAAAAGTCTAATAGAGTTAGAAACCGCAGTATGCCAAACTTGCTTCCATCTAATCTTGTAGAGATTACAATCTAGTATTTCTACTCTCTTCTACAAAATGGCAGATCACATCGTCTAAATTTTACCATGTTTCTACCAGTGGTAACATTTACGTTCTACGCTTTTCACTTCTAACTACTAGAAATAGATTGTTGATTCTACGAGATCTTCTATATCTTTCGACCAGTAGAATCTTGTTTCTTCCGAAATATATTCAAAAAATCCGGAAATATTGCCTAAAAATGGTTACTAATGATTTTGGAAATATTTTCTTTACTTTTTTTTTGTTTTAACTTTATTTTGAAGAAACCGTAAAGTTCTTCTTCTTCTTTCTCACGATCTCTTCTTTGTTTCTCCGTATAGATCGATCGGTGAAGATCGACTGAACTAGACAAGGTCGATTGGGATCGATCGATCTAAAATAGAGACCGATCGATCTATGATAGATCGATCGATGAAGATCGACTGAACTGGACAAGGTCGATCAGTTTTTGCTCCGTGCTTTTTTATGTTTTTGTTTAATCATCTAGATCGACCGTTGGGATCGACCGACTCTTTCTGGGATCGATTGATCCCATCGTATAGAGTAGTAAATGAAGTTTAAGATATGAAGTCTCACGCGAAGTTGTTTAATCATGAAGTTTAATGTCAAGTTTGGGGTATAGATAATTCATCCCAATAAGTCTGAAAAGTTATAAAAAGATAATTTAAATACATCCCAATATGTCTGAAAAGTTATAAAAGCTAATTTAGATACAAGAAACTAAAGCTCAACAACACTAGAAGTAATTGTCTTCAGAGGTGTGTAGTTTGACATTCGCAAGATCAGTTCGGGATCGTTTGCAGCTTCAGCCCAGTTAGCTTACATCTCTTTCTTGCCTAAGCACAATGCTCCAAAACCCTTTATCGGATGTCCAAGACTCAAAATCAGTGGTTGTCTGCTTCGCATTTGAGACCAGTCACAACGTAGAACTCTTGCATAGAAAACCATAAAGGCTTCATAGCAAAGAGAAACCATAACTCATGATTCTTGGAAATGTTGAGTAGTTTGCATACAAAGCTGTGAATAACCTTACCCGAGTATCCAAACTGATGCTCATTGATAGCCAAAATTGGATGAAGACAGGATCTTTCAAAACAACATCATACTCATCCTTAAGAGCTTCTTTCACTATCTGCAGGATTGTAAGCCTACACGTGTTGTTGATCTTTTCAATACAAGTTTCAACTCCGGCTTCAGCTATGCGTTTAGGTAGCTCGATTTCCATTCCTGTAGACCAAGAAATCACAACATTACATGTTTTTTCAACCAAAGCAATGAAACCATGTTTCACAAGATGTAAAATATCAGACACAAACAATAGCAAACGCAAAACAAACACATAAACAAGTTTGAGTCTTTTTTACATAAACAATTTGGAACTCGATTCAAAGGAATTATAACTCAAATCGGTTTCATACATGGAAGGTGTGATATATTGAACCCATTCTATGATTTTCAAGCATGAACATAAAAAAACAAAAAAAAATTTGGGGATCTCAAAACCCTAACCTTCAATTTCGAAATGGGTGAATGGTTCTGGAGAAAGAGCACAAGGAACAGAGCTAAAGGCTACAACCACCGAGGATTAGTTCGCCGGCGATGAATGTCGATTTCTCTTGCCGTCGGCGGAGAGAACGAGGAGAACGACGAGAACAAGAAGAACGAGCAAAGAGGTCACCGTGGAGAGGAAAGAGAGAAGTTGGAAGAGGAGTTCATCACTGTGATAAGGAATTTATGCCGGAGAGAACTGTGGAGAAGGTGACCGGAGAAACCGAAAACAACATAATCACCATCGATGGTGAAGAAAGAAGAAGAAGTTAATGATATTTCCCATTTTTTTCACCTCTTTTTTATTTCACGTCACAGAAAATTAACAATATTTTATGAGATTTTATTAATATGTTTTATTTACTAATTGTAGGGTTAATTTAGTACTAACAGTAAAAAATCATTCTAAGGGGACAACATTTTCACAAACTATTATAAGGGGACATCAATTCCCCGTTTATGTTCCAAATTAGCAATTTTCTGTAAATAGTATGATAGTTTTTTTCTTAAACACTACTCCTCAATGATAAGTAAGTTTCTAATTAAACTTACCCGATCAACCAATATGATATATAAAAATGGATATCGACATAATGCTTTTGTTGTCAAACAGAAAGAAAAAACTTGCAAGTTTTCTCATCTAATGATCAGGTTATAAAAACTTCTCGTCGAGTTATCTTTTGTTCAACTACTTTTACTCAAGGGAATTAACGAATATAGGTTGAAACATACTGTTCTAACTCCTCAAGTTTTGTTTTTTTTCAAACAAAACAAAACAGTTTAGAGCATGTGTATCCCTATCACTTTTAATGGATTTTTTAATGACTTTTTATTTAATAAAACTAACCTAAGAATTTTAGTTAAGAAACTCCCATTTTGAATGATCCAATGGGAGTTTCTTAACTAAAGATTCTTAAAAAGAAAATTAGCATCAAAACCATTATTCAGTTTTGTTAAGATGATAACCTGAAGTACAACATCAATGTAATCAACTCCTAGTTCCATGGCTAAACGGAGCACATCCAACCTCTCAGTTTCATCACCGTCTATTGACCGCCTTCCCATTTGCCTAACATTACTCATAGTGCAACACAAGAACTAGTACATAACTTAAAGGACAAGAAGGTAAGATCACTCATTGAAAGGTCACCACAATGGGTTTATAGAAAGTCTCAAGCTTTAACACACACACACATACAAACCTATAGGTGAAGAGAGTGGGAAGAGGAGATTTGTTTATAATAGTTTTAAGATCCTCAAGAGGGTTGAAATCCTTAAGACTATCTTATCGAATTTCCACCAAGTCGGCACCCAATTCCTGAGCTTTGCACGTTTCAGTCACCATCTTGTCTATTGAATCCGTCATTACTAAAGAACAGATCAAGCTAGGATTCTTTGAAATTTTTTGACTTACGACCTCTGTTTGCATTGAATTTGAAGCCACCTAAGAGCACTTTCATCACATGAAAAAGGTGGGTCTCTTACGTGTGGGGCCCACGAAAAACAACAAAAATGTTTCTTAATGTCGCGAAAGAAGAAACATTTTTGGGGAGGTTTTTGTAATGTTTGCGGACCCCACTAACACGTGGCGGCCCGACAGTGATTCGTTTTTTTTAATCAAACGAAAAAAATAAAAGAAAATTAGAATCCAAAATAGGGTTGTGGGAAAAAGATGCTCTAAGTTTCACAAACCATTAGCTCTCACCTTTTTAAGCTCTAATTGCCAATCCAAAACTACCTAATTAGAACTAAACATCAAAATCATGTCCCAGGACAAGACATCAAACACTTCATCAAAAAAATTCAGACAAAAAGAGATAAACTTTGTCTGAACCGATCTGTAAGACCCGATCCCAGCCACCTAGGCCGCGGTCGACGCCTCACGTCGCTCGGTCCGAACATCTAAAATTTTCTCCCTTTGTCTATAAACGCCCATAGGTGGAGAATAACGTAGATCTCAGCTTAAGACTATCTTAGTCATTCCCTAACCATCAATCTGCAAAGCCATCATTGTTAACTAGCACTCTCTGAAAGAGAACTGGAACCAAAAGATAGAATCACTAACATAAACGTTACAGAGAAACATATCCTATAGCGAAACATCAAACACTTCATCCAAAAAGATATAAACTTTGTATGGGCTAATTCATCTGTAAAAGTCATCGTTGTTCTTAAGCACTCTCCGAAACAGAACATAACCAAAGGAAAGAATCACTAACATAGACATTGCTTGGTTCCATGCTTCGATGTTGGTGTTGAACAGAAAACACTACCAGAACCGGCAAACTCTGGCTTTCGGCGGAGAAGTCGCCGTGTGGATCGAGAGAGTCCTCGTTCGTGGTGGATTTCGACCGATCGCCTAGCAGAGAAGACCAGAGAATTCGGAGGAGACGCCTTGAGGATGAGAGAAGACGAAGGAGGTTTCACTCGCCCAATGACGAGAAGTTGAGAAAGAAAGAACAAAGAGAAAATAAAAGAAAGAAAAGAAAAGATTTAAAAATAGAAAATTTCCTATGGTTATACGTGTTCGAAAAACTCCTTTAAAATGGTTACCAAAATCCTTCTCTAAGGATCAGTAATTGCCTATTGTTTTAATTTTCATTTAACTAAATCAGTTTTTTATCTTTAAAACTCTTTTTAAAGTTCCGTGTTAAACATGGTCTTAGCTTATATATAAGCAACTAGATGATAACCCGTGCGCATGCACGGAGTGGAATTTTTATACAAATATTTATTCATTAAATGGTTTTTAACATTTTGCAATACGACTGTATTTATCGATTATAAAATGATGAATACAAATGTTGGTATCTTAAATCATCATAGGTCTGGATGTTTGAGACTTCGTCGGTTTTGGTTTGATTGAGACGTATTTTCACATTTTGGTATTATTCTCATAAATCCTATTTGAATTTTACTAATTATCGGATTGGATTCGATTTGGTCTTCTCAATTCAGTTTGGATTGGATTGTAACCGATATCTGAAATCATCGCAAAAAATATTTTTAAACATTAAAAGTTGACAAAAAAATTCAAAACATTTAAACTATTAATAAATCTGATTTAAAATTAGTTAAATTATCTAAACAAACTAAAAGATATTAAAAAAACAAATAAAACAAACTACAAAAATCTTTCGAATACTATAATTTGTATCTACTAACCTCAGATCTTTTCACTGAAATTGTTAAATTAACATATTTATAATATGAATATCTACTAATGATACTTCATATTCGTACGATTTATGATAATTTGTATCTTGTTTGAAAAAAAAACAAAGTTAAACCATTGATCATAAAATTTTCAATGTGGGATTTTACTATTTTTAGTTATTTATGGTCGTTTTAAAAAAAAAGTAAAAATATAACTTATAAGGAAAAAATTAATTTTTATTATATATTTAATATGATTGTTTAATTTATTTTAATAATTTAAAATTAAACAAAAAAGAGAGAGGACACAAAAATATGTATTATTCATAATCATTAATTAGATATATATGTTAATCATATTAGGTAATTCTGTAGCTTTTATTTAAGGAAAGAAAATATATTGTTTTATACTTAGCAGAGTTGGTCCCTTAAAAAAATGTTTATATATTATAGTCCTAAATGCAATAAATTAAATGTTACATAATTGATTCCTAACAAAGTTGATCCATTAAAAAATTAAGGTTGAGAAGCTCTGTGAGCTTGACACGTAAGCATACTCTCCAAGGTTGTGCATTTATGAATGCTTCAGGATTAATATATAGGGGATTCAAGGTTTAAAATCTTTCATATTTACTACTTTTCTAAATCGTACTATATATTCATCATTGTGCAAGTGTAACCTAATCTTTCGTTGACTACGTACAAAATCCTATGAAAGTACTAAATATTGTATGCGGTAAATTTTTTTACTGGTTTATATCGCTATTATTATAATCAACACTACAAGCCAGGTCCGATCAGTATTAGAAAAACATCCACAATCCATAGTTTAGCAGTGAAATCTCCCTAAAGAAATGAGAACCATAATTAAGTTCATTGTGCGAAAGAGTGTTTCGATCCGTTCATCCAACGTCGGTACTCGGTACCATAATTATACATTATAGCCAGGTCGGACATCGTGATGTGAGTGTACTCACTTCAATGACACTCAGACCTATTTGTCCTAACAGTTTTTTTGGTTTGTCAATACCAAGACGCGTTTTTTCAGAGTATTCTACAAGATTTTCATTTTTATAAAATAAAATATAAGGAAGTGAAAGGCTGGGGACTCAACCTACCGTTGAAAAGAAAACGATCAGGAACACAGAAATTTATAATTTTATCAACAAAAAATGGGTAAGGAAATAAATATTACAATGAAAGAGCCACATGGGTGTCTGCATACAAAAGGAAAAAGGATTTGTCTGAAAGTGTCACAGGCACACTCTCTCGAACCACATTTAACAACAATCCAAACACTCTTCTTCTGCTTAATTTGTACTCTTCAGTACATTACTTTCCAAAGTCCGTGATTTACGCTCTTCGATGACACCTTCCAAGAGAGAGAAGACATATATATACATTTTTTATTTTCTTCTGCTATTCACATTTTCAGCATTCGGATGATTCTGCAGTATCTTCCTAATATTAAGAACTAGTACATAGTTAACGCAAAAACTTTAATTTTGGTAGGAATCTCTC